AATCRAACCCAGTACCTCACACATGCTAGGCAAGTGCTCTACTACTGAGCCACAACTCCAGCCCCAAGAAACCTGTTTAATACAGAGTTTCCAAAGCTTAATTGTCCACAGAACATTTTCCCTACCCATAATGCCATTAACATCCCAGGAAGTATTTGATCTATAAGAAAGCATAGGGAGGTGCTTTACCTATAAAGAAGGGATCCAGATGGCAGTGACTTTTGTTTACCTTTGTTTCCTCTATCACACAGTTTTCCTCTTTTTCTTGAGAAAGGAATATGTCTGTTTATCTTTCCTTTTTTTTTTTTTTTAAATCTACTTACAGGGGAATAGGTGTGTACTGTGGCAAAAGTGTGTGGATGAAATAGGCAGGGGTGGTGAGTGGCTGGATGGGTAGTTGGGGTGTCTGGCAAGGCAACCTCTTGGCAAACCTGGGCAAAGTGTCAGTCCCAGACAACCCTCTCCCAGCTACTTGGAAAAGGGAAGTTATGGGGTGTCAGTTGCCTGTGACAGTGGAGTCATGGCTCTCTGCCTACAGGTGAAAGAGGAGTGCCGCCTCCTGAATGCACCCCCTGTGCCTCCCCGGGGTGGCAGTGGCCGGCTCTCAGGCAGCCCCCCTGTGCCGCCCCGCTTCCCCAAGCTGCAGCCTGTCCACTCACCCAGCTCCAGCCTTTCCTACTATTCCTCTGGCCTCCAGGATGGGTGAGTCCCTCCCTTCTCCTGGTTCCTGGGTTCTCCTAAGGTGCATCAAGGGAGGGGAGGTGGGGAGTGCTAAGAAAAGGTAGGAGGTGTGGCTTGTGACCTGCCCTGTCTCTTCCTCCCTCTGCTCCTTTCCTTCCTAAGTGAGGAGGAGGGTTTGAGAGCAAGACTCTGGTTCTTTCCTGGGACTCCTGCAGGAGTGCTACTGGCTAGTTTTCAAATTTTACTTAATTTTAATTTCCCACCTGTGTTTTCTGTGTTGGGGATGCTGGAAGAAAGAACAGGGCAGTCCCAGGGGCCTCAGCCTGGGGGCTGGTGTGCTGGCAGGACGTGGGAATGACTGACAGCTGTGGTCTGCTGCCTTGTGTGTGACCCCTTCCTTATTGCCTTGCTCTGCCTTATGTGTTTTATGTGTCGTGTCTCTGCTACAGCACGGGTTCCCGCAATGGCAGTGGCTCCCCGTCACCAGATGCCTACTCCCTCTATTGCTACCCTTGCACCTGGGGAGATTGCAAGRTGGGCGAGTCCTCCAGCCGCCCACCCCCAGGTCCTCTGCCCTCCACAACCACACAGCCCAGCCAGGCCTCTAGGGCCCTTGCAGAGCCCCTGAGTGGTCGAGCCCCCTCCCTTTTGGGGGCTGACACCCCAGTCAAGACCTACCATGGCTGTCCACCCCTGTTCAAGCCCTCCCACTCCCAGAGACGCTTTGCTCCCTTAGGAGCTCCCAACCCCTTCTCAGGGCCCACCTACCCAACAGGCCCTCCTGCCACTTCTTCTGGGCCCACAACCTCCTCCAGTGCCTTGGCTACCTCCAGCCCTGCACATTCCCCAGGCCCAGCCTCCCCAGGCCAGGCCTATTCAGCTGCTCCTCCCTCTTCTCCCTCATCCTCCGAGTGGCAAGAACCAGCCCTGGAGCCCCTGGATCCCTTTGAGCTAGGGCAGAGCAGTTCTCCAGAGCTCGGTTTGCTGCGCTGCCAGGAGCCCAGAGTCATGGGGGCACCTGGGCCTGGACCCTGCCTTTCGCCACTTGGACCCCCTAAAGCCTTTGAGCCAGAAGGTTTGGTGCTGAGGCAGGTCCCTGCCTCACTGTCACCAGCTGCTCTGCAGGGGCCTGAGGCAGGAGGAGCCCGACTCTTTCTTACCCCAGGGCGGATGGAGGGTCCTCCTGCCAGTCCCCGGGATGGAGCCCCAGGCTTTGGAGGCCGGGATGCTCCCTCCTGGCAGCCCCCTGCAGACCTATCTGCGCTCTCCCTGGAGGAGGTCTCTCGCAGTCTGCGCTTCATTGGGCTCTCTGAGGATGTGGTGAGCTTCTTTGCCCGAGAGCGTATTGATGGAAGCATCTTTGTGCAGCTCAGTGAGGATATCCTGRCCGACGACTTCCACCTCACCAAGCTGCAGGTCAAGAAGATCATGCAGTTCATCAAAGGCTGGAGGCCCAAGATATGAACTGCCCTGCCAGTCACTGCACTATTGGAATGCTGGCTCCGAGGCTCTGGGGACTAGTCGTCGGTCTGCCAGGGACAGAGCACTCTGAGAGGCAGGGCTGCCTGTGGGAGAATCTTTCCAAGACTAAGACTGATCGGCAGCACTCAAACTTACCAGGAGAGACACCTTGGGTGGTCTTCTGGGCTCAGATCCCTGCAAGGGGACATCTTGCCTTTGTGCAGAGTATATGGGGAGGGGGTTGGAGGCACATTATGTACCAGACCTGGTGAAACATTTGCTGTGATTTTTAGTGGGGAGGATGGTGGTATGTCAAGAGGTGGCCTTCACAGTGATGGGACACCTTCCCCTGCTCGGCAGCAATCCTTCACAATTACATGCTTCTCAAACCTGTAGGTTCAGGTTAGAGAGAAGGGCAGATGGTCCATAATTTAAGCACAAATGCCCCAAGTGCCCGCTCTCCTATGTGCTCTGTGGGTTTCTGGCCTGTGGCTGACCCAGAGTTAGGGGTGAGATTTGTGTCTCTGGGATGCCCTTCCTTCTCTCTGCTTTCCCATGATATAGGTGCCTGGCCCTGAGCATAAGTTCAAGTACAAGCCTGTGTCACAGCACCTCAGAGGCTCCACCCCTGGGTTCTTGTTCTGGGTGACAACTTGGGAAGAGCACAGCTCTGCTGCTGACCTATCTAGTTAGGGAGGCAGGTGTTCCCCAGTGCTTTCTAGCCCCAGCTCCTGCTCCTCACCACAGCCAGCCATCCGTCTTGTCAGGTAGACTTGTCTCTGAAGACGGCTTTGTGGAAGAGCAGGTGGATTTCGGTCAGCTGTTCCTTCTTTCTAGAGGCAAGCAGTGGTCAACCACCCCACATTCCTGCCAGTCTCCTGCCCCCAGCATTGGGCTCTGATGGACATTTAGTGTCCTTCCCTGGTTTTCTGTCACTGGCATAGGAAGTTAGTTAGGTGAGAGAAAGGAACGGGTAGCTTTGGAAAACCTGCCTTTCACTCCTCCTGCTCGCCTTCAGGTACTTCAGAGCAGATCTTTACACCATTCGCTCTAGAGCCTGGTGACCTCCTTGGTTCCAGACCTCTGGGTCACTGTGTACAAGCCCATGCCACCAACTTCACTGTCACCACACTCTGAAGCACACTACTCCTAATGTTCACTGGGTCAGGGCCCATAGGCGGTAGCCTTCTTTTCTGCCTTACTGAGTCTGCCTAGATATTTATTTCCTGGGTTTCTTTTTATGGGTAGGTAAGCCATGCTGCTGCCCCTTCTGAGGGAGGGAAGTCAGAAAAGAGCACAGGAACAGAGACCTTTGGATTTCTCACAGATTGTTTTCATGAATCCTCAAGGACTAGTGAAATAAATGCTAGGCCCCTGGAGATTAGTGCAAGTGGAATTCTGGGTGTCAACAGTTTTCTTTTGGAGGGTCACAATGACCAATGGGCACCATGCACATGCCTCCGCCTCCAGGCAGGAGATGGCTTTGGGATGGTGTGTGGATGTAGTCTATTCATATGTCCCCAGAGGCAGCTGGCAGCAGCCTTTACTCCCTTTTGCAAGCATCTCACCGGCTGCTGCCCTACAAGAACCYGCCAACTCCTACTGATTGGACATAATTTACACCCACCTGGTGCTATTGATGGAAAAGACCCAGATGTCAAATCTGGGCTCAAGTTCATCTTTTTGCATTATAGGGGTCTGAGGCTCTCAGATCCCCACACACAGAAAGCTGTTCATGGGCTAGATGGCACACACCTGTAATTCCAGCAACTTGGGAGGCTGAGGCAGGAGGATCTCAAGTTCAAAGCCAGCATCAGCGACTTAGTAATAAATTATAAAAAGGGCTGGGGATGTGGCTCAGTGGTTAAGTGCCCCTGGGTTTGATCCCTGGTGCCAAAAAAAGAAAAGAATAAGAAACCTGTTCAAGGCCTTAGTACAGAGGATCAATTCTGTCTTCTACTGGTCATCCAGAAATCCCAACTCAAGAGATAACTGTTGTATGGTTTGCCTTCCTAGCAAATAGCAACCAGTATTTAGTAGAGTTGAAGCTAAACTTTATACTTGCCAGTCCCAACACCTGAGCTGGGACTAGGGAAATGCTTTAAGTACTTGCAAATGGAGCAGAGTGGGCAGTATCTGAGTTTAGAATGCACCGAGTGTTATGGGACTTGAATTAGGATTCCGCACACATTTGGTAACTCAGTGTGGATCTTTCTGCCAGACCCAGTTAGGAGCCCAACACTGTTTATCCAACTGGGCACTACTGCCAGAACACAAGTGTGAGAACCCAGCACACCAGGGACGGGGGTGGGGAGAGATGAGGTGATAGCAATGGGGGAGGCTGCGGTCTCTGCTGCTTCTCGGCCACCTCTCACCTCCATGCAGGCATCTTTCGTCTTCCCTGGTGTGGGCCAGCACATGCAGGACTCCTGCATTGGAGAAATGTCATCTCCTCTGTTTAACTCTGACATTGCCACAAACATACTGAGAAGCAATCATGCATGAGGCATACCAGGAAAGGAAACGGGTACCATCATACGGTGAGGAGATCCAGTTTGTGGAAAGTCATACCTTTTGCATCCTGGCACACCATTCCTCTTATAATTCTGCTACTCTCAGTACCCAGGGTCATTTCCCCTGTGAGCAGCCCTGCCAAAGCATTTAAGCAGTTAAGCTTAAATGGCTGTGGGCACAAAAAGTCCCACTTTCTGGTATCACAGTCTCTCTCAAGCAGATGCCCAGAACTCCCCCATTACCCTCCTACTCCAAAGGGACAGGGCTTTATTCCAGCTCATGTCCTCAAGAAGGGCTTGAGCCAGAAGGGCAAAGACACAAGAAAAAGAACCAAACCAAGCGGGTGATAGTTTGGTTTTTACTGTGGTTCTGTTGGGCTGGGTACAGAAATGCCCTCGCCACCACTAGCCACCACTGGCCTCCTGGGAGGAACAGGCAACAAAAGTGGCTTTGGATGGCTCTTAGCTGCTGATTTGGGCTTCAGGGTTTAGAAAAGGAGCACAGTGGGTTCCACTTTCCAATATGAAGTACAAACTCTAATTCATAGTCAGACTTCACCAGGAAGGAGATGGTCAGAGCTGAAGGCACTTTAATTAAGGAGCAAACTCAAGGCCAGGCTTGGTTTTCCTTCTGCTTCCTGATACACCCAGATGGCACTTTTGAAGCAGCGCTGCTGGCAGCTGGGTTAGTGCACTGATGGAGCAGGGTGGGAGGGCCTGCTCACTGGTAGAACTTCTTACTGGGACTGTTGGCGTGGTCAATGAGCAGCTGGCATGGGGTGAACTGTTTTCCATAGGCAGCTTCATACTTCCGGAGCCGGTCCACTATCTTCTGAGCACCATACAGATCCACAAAACGGAAGGGACCTGGACAGAGAAACAGGACTTTATTGAAAGAGGCAGCAATGAGAGCACCAGGATGAAGGGAGACTTGCCAGCCCACAGACGAACCTCCGAGACAAGGGGGGAAGCCAAGGCCAAAGACTGCTCCGATGTCTCCCTCTGCAGGTGTGGCCAAGATCCCGTCCTGTAGGCACAGCACTGCTTCATTCACAAATCTTGTCACCACACGGTACTGGATGTCTTCATCAGAGGAGCTGCCAACATGAAGAGACAGTTAGGCAGAGGAACAGGGGGGCAAGCAGAGCTGGGATTGAGCACGAAGTGTGGGTGGGTGCGGGGAGTCCTGTGGCCAGGCAGGACCAAACCTTTCATTCTGCAGAGAAGTCCGCCTGGGAGGCCCAGGCTTTCCCTTGGAAAAAAGGGGTGTTACTTGTCCTAAGTGATATGAAACTGAGCACCCATGAGGGTCTGGCACAAGGGGATAATCAAGTGCTCACAAGTGATAATCAAGAGCTGGGAGGAACGCCTGTGCCAGCTTCAGGAGTGTTCTCTCGGTTCAGGTGAGCATAAGGGAAATAGAACAGGGGCCAGGAAGCTTTGGGCTGTCAGAAATGTGTTTCCTTGCCCTGAGCCACTCAAACTGACTTACACCTCGGGCTTAGCAGGAAGCCTCAGACTTGCAAAAATAGTATCCATGTCAGAATTCAAACTCTTATTCTTCGAGCCCTCCTGATAAATGTAAAAGCCTTTCCCAGATTTGCGACCTAAAAGAAGAAAAGAAGAGGCAGCATCACCACTTGTTCTCCCAGCCCTGGCCACGAGTGCCTGTCTCTGCTACCTGCTGTAAAGCTCCAGTCTTTTCCCTGCATCCAGCTCACCCTGAAATTCTTTCTTTATCAGAAGAGCTGACAGAGAAGGAAGGAAGATCTTGTGATTTCTGGAGCTTGGAAATCTGTATCTGCTTGAAAAGGCTGCTCAGGTGAGCTTTCATGTCCAGATCCATAACACCAGGCCCCAGGAGGCAAGGCCTAGCAGAGATTTTGCTATTTCCACAGATGTAGCAGAGGTAGAACAGAAATGCCTCTTGGGCCTGGTAGTGGCAAAGACCAAGAAGTCTAGACCTTTTTTTTGGTGGTACTGGGGATTGATGCTCTACCACTGAGCTATATCCTCAACCCTTTTTATTTTGAGACAGGGTCTTGCTAAGCTGCCTGGGCTGGTCTTGAATTTCTAATCCTCCTCCCTCAGCCTCCGAAAGCTGCTGAAATTACAGATGTGCACCACCATATCTGGCTTTCTCTCTGTCTTTTGTCTGTAATTGATAGGCCTAGGTGCCCAGGAAATCATTTTTGAAACTCCCTATGACCAGGCTTGAGTGTTTAAGAAACACTCGTCCTTGTGGGCCTTCTGTGATTCTGTGTTCTCAAGACCATGCTGAGAACTAATGGTGCCAGTCACCTTTCCTTGTGCCTACTCACCCAGGAAGCCCTTGGACACCATCTGGTTCAGCAGCTCTGGGCTTCCACCTCCAAACCGCTCCCCAAAGGCTTTGCCCAGATCTTCTGCCACATGTTTCGCTACATCCACACCAACTTCATCTGCCAGGGTAGCAGCACCCACAGGAAAGCCAAAGCCTGTGGTCAGGGAATCCAGCTTCTTAGGGTCAACGCCTTCCTGAATAGGAAGTGAAGCAGGGGCCTCAGGGAAAGGCCATCTCAGATCCTTCCCCAACACACACAGAAGGACTCCTCTGGCTAGCCCCTGGCATAGCCTTGTGCAAAATCTCTCTGGGTTTTACCTGGCTATGCCCAGGACTGGCACTCCATGCAGGAAAGCACAGGTGGAAAGTGTGCAACTTCTTGATCTATAGCACTTGAAGGAAGTTTAGAGAGGAACAAATTATCTACTTCCTTCCATGTTTGCAATTCTGAATCTCAATACTAAGAAGATGCAATAGGTGACAAGGCTAAGAGCACCATGACCGTAAAATACATCAGTACTGCCAAGGAGCAGTGCTGCAGAGCGCTGAGATTCCTGTTTGGGCAAGTGTCTAAGGGAGCAGAGTTCAAACTCTGCCCATTTACTGTGGCCTACATGACTTCCACTCCTGCACAGAGACGGTGGGTACAAAAGGGCCTCCCGAAGAAGCGGCAGGAGTTAGTGTACTCAGAGGAGCCTTGTACCTCCTGTTGACGTCTTCAGTTTGGAGACCTGAGTGAAGGAGTGGAAGAGGCCTCAAATGCTCCACAAAGTAATACCCACCTGGAGGATTCGTATGACTTCAGACATCATGGGTGCAAGACACCTGGTGGTGTAGAAGCCAGGTCCATCCTGCAAGGGAAAGAAGGTGAACTCATTGTCTGCTTTTGACTGGAACTACTCATGTCCAAGAAGTCTTGCTTTCCCAGCTGTGATTTCAAAGTTTAAGAGAATTTAAAATCTCAATGAGAGTCCTTAATATTAAATTGCAAAGAAAGTTATTCTGGGATAGTCTGGCACAACGAATTGTTTCATGGTCACCTTCAAGGCCTGGAATGAGTGGGAGGATCCTGTCATATTCCAGAAACAACCAAGGGGACATCATTATCTGAAACTGCTATATTTGCTCCAGAAAACAGTTATCAAGTCTGGAGGTATAGGGAGTCCTTTTAGAACTTTCAAATGTGTTGTAAAATCCCAGCTCCTCACCTTGACCACAATGATGACCTTCCCTTGCTTGAGACCAACTGCTACAGCAGAAGCAGTTGTGTCCTTGGATGTTTTCTCTGTTGTGATGATCTCTAGTAGCTGCATCTTGTCCACAGGAGAAAAGTAGTGCATACCAATCACCTGGCAAAGACAGCCAAAGCCAACAGATCTACAAATGCTGAGGAGGGAACCTGACACCTTCATTTTTTGTTAGAAAAATAATGGAGGGAAAGGTGAATGTGATAAGGAATACTGCTTATTAAGTCATGTAGTTCCATGGATTTCTGATGAGAGGTACAGTATGTTTAAGGTGAGCTAACCAGAATCCTCCTCTTCCATTTGTTTCTAAGGATATTTGTGTCTACCAACAATCAGTGCCAAAGTCACAGCTAAAGGCCAAACTAGATTTACTGGGGAAGAATGGATGAAGATTCCACTTATAGTAATGATGATGATGGTTTAGGTGAGAGGTCCACATTTTGTGGGGAAGGGACAGGCAGAAGCATTGGTTAATATGCTGGACTGTCAGAGATGTATTTGCATTTTACACAGATGAGTCTCACCACTAGGACTCTAAGCTTAAGAAACACTTCTGCACAATCCTATGCACCTGTAGACTCATTAAACCAGTGATTTTCACAGTGTAGTACCCAGATCCACCATCATGAACATCACCTATGAACACCAGAAGTATGGATTCCGAAGTCTAAGCCAGACCTACTGAATTAGAAAACTCTGAGGGTGTGGTCTGGATCTGTGTTTTAATGAATCTTCTCAATGATCCTGATGCATCCTACCATTTTATTTATTTTTGTGGCACTTAGGAGAGAACCCAGGGCCTCATGCATGCTGGGCAGGGACACTCTACTACTCCCCAGCCCTTTCTATTTTTTATTTTGAGACAGGGTTGCTCAGGCTGGCTCTGAGCTTGCAATTCTCCTGCCTCAATCTTCTGAGTAGCTGGAATGACAAGYGTGTGCCACCATACCCAGTCTTATGCAGACATTTAAAACCATCTCAGAAAGCTAACAATTTGATGGGCTTCAAAACAAAACTGTGCAAGAAGTCTAATTCATTAATTTACAGTTCTGCTTTCTCCCTCCACTTTAGTTACTAGTTACAACTAATAATACCTACTATTTTAATCCATTTATCATTTATTTCTAACATTTAATCCATTATAACTCTGTGAACTTGTCAAGTTTTCTAGATGAGGAAAAAAGGCATCATGAGGTTCAAATCAGTAGCTCAGGGTCAGTTAGTAAATAGCAGGGAGGGATGCCATCACAGGTCAGCTGTCCCTGAAGTCTGACCACTGATCTTTATCAATTAAATGTTATCTTCACTTATCAATCCAAAAGTTTCTTCTATACTCTGAACTGTTCTTTTACTTTGGTCTAAAATACTTAGGTGCTTCTGCACCAGCCTTTTCATGTCCTGGGCAGAAGGTCTAATCAAAGCCATGGGTAGACACAGGCCACCTTACCCCTATCAACCTATTCTAAACAATTACTAGACTGCTCTGTAGCCAAATGGATATTTTATTCTTATTTTAGGGCCTATCCTTCAATGTCTAATTAGAGGATAAAGGATGGTTTGAAAACCAATACCAATTAGGATGCAAATAACCAAAGTACATATATTTAGTTGTACTTCACTTATTACTGTACCTTACATTGGTCATGGCCTAACTTTCCTGTGCCCAATTTTTGGGAATCACTCCTCCACTTCATAATCCACACTGTGATTTCTCTTATTTATATTCTAAGCCTTTCATCAGTGAGTCTGAAGCAGTAAAACATTTCAGGGTTTTTCTCTGTTCAGAGATTACCTTCTCAGGTCTTTTGCTGACAGCAGCAATTTCATTGATTGGGAGAGCAGATGTGTTACTGGCAAAGATACAGTGATCTGGAATCACCTGCAAGGGAAAAGCATTTAAGAATGTGTCACATAGGCCTGGAGATGACAGAGTCTGTAGCAAAGCTAAGAAGGGTCATGTGGGCCAGGCCCACCCTCTCACCATAAGGCTCAGACAACAAACAGCACTCACCCAGACATTTCAGATCACCCAAGCTTTTGTTTTGGGGAATGTGTTGACCTTATTCTTTTTCCTGTTCAGTCTAGATATGGTCTATCATAAGGTCCTGACCTGGAGAGTATATCTCAGCAGTTGAATAAATAAGATGTCTTAGATGCAGGCTGCTGGTAGCTCAGTGGCACAGCACTTGTTTTGCATGTGTAAGACTCTGGGTTCAATCCCTAGCATCTCAAAAGAAAAGAAAAATCCTTAGATACTAACAAGATGGCCTTAAATCAAATTTCATTTATTTGAAGAATCAGCATGGATTCAACACCTCTTCTTATTGGGATCTGTCCTCAAGTCTGAAAGCTTATGACACCCTCCACTCCTGCCTTGACCTTTAAAAAAATGAGACATACATGCATGCCTAGCTCATTTTTTTATAGTGCATTAATAAAAAGTGGTATATCACTACAATTATATCCACAGTACATGAACACTGTGGACTTTATTAGCCTGGAGGATAATCTCTAACACAGCATTCTGTCTCTGATCCAAACTTATTCTTTTTTTTTAAATATTATTTTAGTTGTAAATGGACTCAATTCTTTATTTTATTTGTTTATTTTTATGTGGTGCTGAGGATTGAACCAGGGCCTTATATGTGCAAGGCAAGTGCTCTACTGCTAGCCACAGCCCCATCCTCCAACTTATTCTTGTTTTAATTCAAATGCTTGGGTGAAAAACATGGAAGATGCACCTGTTAAATTTGCACAAGTCTGGGATAGGCAGGATCCAAATATCAGAGATGAGAATTAAGGCTGCAGATAGGTTAACATACCAAAAAGATAGTATAAAATAAGATCAATTATGACAGAGATAAAGATAAAGTATTGCATTAAGATTCAAAAAAAAGGAAAAGAAAAAGAAAGAACTCTATAGGCACACGAGGGAAAAGACCTGGGTTGGCAGTAAACCTGTGATAAAGATCCCATGATTTTAGTTAATTGAAAGTGGAATGAGACTTGACAGTATGGCATGACTAAGTGAGCAGTCTCAAAATGTGTCATTAGTATCAAGTACTGGTGGAAAAATCCTCTAGGAAGAGCAAACTAATGTCTCCAAAATGGCTGGCAACAGTCTCAATTTGTAGTGTAATGGTTACCACTCTCTCCTCACACAAAAATGGCTGACAATTCTTCCTCTCCTGGGACATGCTTAGCTGTGGTCCTGCCTCATGCCCAGATTACTGCCATCTCTTTCTTTCTAGGCTCTTTCTTGATACCACCACCAAGGACTCCTATTACTCATGTCATCCTGTCTCAGAGCATTTGGGAGGAGGACCAGAGTAGCATTTCTATGAACACGCATTTGACTCCTGCCTGGAGTCCTTTGCTGCCTAGAAGAAATTTGGTTATCACTTGTAGCCAACCAAAATCTCAAAACATCTGGCTATATAATTCCATCAAGTTATTTGTATTTTGAGTGATTTATCTCTCCTCATAAATAAAGCCAATGAACCCTGTGTTTAGGTTAATAAGCTATTTAATTTTCTTCCTTTATGATTTAGATCTGACCTTTCTACCATGGAGAGTTCCTGAGCTCACACAAAAACTATGTTTAGGGGCTGGGGTTATGCTCAGTGGTGGAGTGCTTGCCTAGCACATGCGAGGGACTGGTTTTGATCCTCAAACCACATAAAAATAAATAAATAAAGTTGTTAGTCCATCTACTGCTAAAAAACATTTTTTAAAAAACCAATAAAAAAAACCCCTTATGTTTGGAAACAAATAGTGCTGTATAGAGAACCACGAGTTTCCCACTAGTTCTTTAAAAATCTCTCAGTTTCCCCCACTCATTCCATTAGGATCCAAATGTGTCAAGCCTCTTACTTACTGCTTCTACTTCCTTTAGTACTTTGTGCTTAACACTGAGGTCCTCAAAAACAGCTTCAATCACCATGTCAACCTTTTCAAAACCCTGGTAATCAAGTTGCCCAATCAAGTTGCTGAAGATGGAATCCCTTTCAAATGATGTTAGAGATTTCTTCTTCACTTTGTCGTTTAATCTAGACAAAAAGAAAGGAGAGTGGCATTTATTGAGTGTCCACGGGCTACAGTGTCACTGTGTGTTTTTTACAGCTCTATGAAGGAGTTATTTTATTACCCCCATCTTGAGGGGTAATAGCTCAAAGAAGCTCAGAGCTTCTTTTATGGCTAGTTAAGATAAGGTAGCTTTCAAAAACCAGTTGACCCCCAAGTGCATATACTTTCAATACAAAATAACCTCTAAATGCCCAACTTACATTAACTATATCCCTCATGAAACAGTTCAATTTGCCAGGAGGAGTAAATAACTCAAATATGAGAATGGCAGAAGAGCAACCGTTCTAATTCTCTAACTAAACCACCTGGTTGTCACACTGGTTGTCATCACTCATGGTGTTCTCTACCTGTAATCTTCTAGAGGAAGCCTTAGGTGGTTCTCTTCAATCCCCTTCTTGCTCAGCACCTAGTAGCTCACTGCATTTATCACATAAAACATTAACTCAAGGTTTCTCCCTTTCCAAAGGCAGCTACAAAGGATTCCTGCTACTCAGTGTATTTTATTGCCAATGAAAACAGACTCTTTTAGATTTAATCTAACCACACATTCAGAATAAATAACCTAGAGCTTTCCTCTACTGAAGTATAAAGCTAAATTCCATTCACCAATTTCTGTAACCAACAGAAAAACAAAGCCACAGATAAGTTAAAAGAAATATCAAATTAAGACTTGAAAGTATGGGCTCAAACCTCTTGGTTTCGTTTCGTTTCCTTCTTCCTTTTTATCACTAAGCCACATCCCCAGCCCTTACTGCCAATAAATTGGGAGGGGACAGGAATGATGTCCCAAGTCACTTGCATGGTGAGTGAGCCTTGTCAGAACTGAGGTTTCTGAGATGAAAAGTAAAGCTAGGATGGTTGTACCCAGACAGGTCACAGAAAGAAGCTATCATAGAGCAACAATTTCTCTTTTTGGTGACTGTATTAAATGCTGTGTGGGGATGCTTGTTTACAAGTTTCAGAGAAATGCTGTTATTTCTCTAGCATACACCATTTTTTTTTGTGTGTGTGGGGGGGTCAGAATCTTTTATTACAATTCCTTTTTATCTTACAATAAGCTCCCAACATTACTAAACCTGTCAGGTCCTAGCATTAGGGTAGCAGCATATAAACTCCTGTACAAACGTTAACAATGTGCTTCAGCTACATAAATTCATTTAAGAAACAAAAAAAGCTCACTCAGCTAAAAGTCACTAGCAGGACGGTCTAAGTGCAGCCAGCTTGTCCATCATGCTTGAGCAGCACACAGTGCTGAGACCAACCCCAGGTTGGCCAAACTGCTGCTGCATATCCCCTCAGCAAAACTGGCGGTACGTGTGTGGGGTGAGTGGGGTGAGTGGGCAGGTAGGGAGGGGGAGAATAAGCCACCCTTGTCAATTCAGAGTAAGACGGAGGCACAGTCTGCAAAGCCTCAGCTGTTATGGACTCAGCAGGAAATGGCTTCGCCTTGTCATGACAGTCAAGAAAGACAAGGCCCAAGAGTCTCAACTGGCCTGGCCTTTACCTACAGTTACTGCACATTCCCTCACACCCCAGCCTCAGCCCTCTCAACAGAGATACTGTCCTGCTGGTTTAGGAAGCCATTACACAACAGCAACTACATGCAAACTGCAGTAAAACCCACAGGCCTGAGGATTTCTAGTCTGACACCAAAGCATAAGATAAACGGCATTTAAAAATACCAACTAACCAAGAAAACAAAACAAACAAAATATCTACTGGAAAAGGTTTTCCCTTCGGCACTCAAAGACTACAGTTTCCAGTGATGTTAAAGTTCATGCTACCTTGAAGTGCAAGAAGGAATTAGTGTTTCTAAAAATCAAAGAAAATGTAACTTAACTATGGAGTATCACCGTGTTCAGGGCAAAGGAATCTCTGATGGCAAACCATACCCTCAAACCAAGATACCAAAAACCCCGTAAAACATTTTTACTTCTGGCAAAAGCAGAGAGCAGCCTTACCCTTTGAACACTTGTTGCTGTCCCCGTCCCAGTCCAGCTACCGTAGTGTCTTTAAGAAGGGTCTTCAGCCCCTTGTCCACGGAGACTTGGGCGATGCCAGCTCCCATAAGCCCTGCACCAAGAATACCTAAATGCCTGAAAGCAAAGGATGAAATGATTCTGGGAAAGAACTCTTACTTGTTTCAGTAAAAGTGAGAGGTTGCCCAAGTTATCATTCAATAAACTAACTCAAACAGGCAACTATGAGGTGCTTTAAATAATTTTTATCTATACAAATACAGTTTTAATAAATAATTGATTTTTAAAGTGAAATGCAAACATTTTTTGGGTCTAAAAGAACAGGTCTTCCCAGAACTATACTAATTCCCAATAGTGCCTGAAGATCATGGAAAATGACACCACCCCTCCTAAGCCTAAAACGAACATGGATATTTTAGTTTTCTGAACAAAGGCCAACTGGCAGTGACATGTCTGAAGACTAACTATTTTTTACTTGTTAAGCAGTGATTTGTTAGTGATTTTACCATTTTCCAGCTGTCTTTCATTTCTCCTGATATCTGGGCCTCTCTTGCCCCTCACCTGGATGAGTTTTGAAGATCTCAAAACTCAGCTAAAAGTCACTAGCTCATCCAGGTCCTCCCCTCTCCGGTGCCTCTACAGGTGCACATCCCTACCTTTTCACCCAATTCCTCTTGAACTTGTTAGGACCACTTGATTTATTCCAGTGTAATCTGCAGTGGCTTCATGTACAAGCTCACTGTTTCCTCAAATAAATTCTAAGCTTTCTGAAGACCAGAAATCATATGTGATTATTTTTAGTTCTCGATAGTTCTGGAACAATATGCTATATTACCACAATAAATAACTTAAAAAAATTAAAGAAATACTTCCTTCATTAAAGAACCCTAGATTTATAGTTCTGTAGATGTAAATTAGAGGTGAAATGAGGGGTAAAGTTTCATTCCTAACCATTCTGGTTATAATGTTAGAAAGTTATACTGGAGGGCTGAGGCCATAGCTCAGTTGGCAGAGCACATGCCTAGCATGTGTGAGGCCCTGGGTTTGATCCTTAGCACCACATAAAAATAAACAAATAAAGGCATGCTGCCCATCTATGACTAAAAAAAAAAAAATCATACTCAAGTCTAACTTGAAGTTAGGAAGACTAACTTCAAATCCAGGAAGCATCTCCTAAAATTTCAAAATTTATCTACTATCTTTTTTTTCAGTTCTTTCTCAAATTAGGTCAACTCTTAGATCATCCTGTTTTTTCTATCCGTTTAATTTTGAGTTTTTGAATTTTTGATTCAAGGTGATTTCTGTCTTAACTACAAGTGCTTATTTAAGGATATTTAATTCAAGTTTGGGAATTTTCTGGTATAATGTTTTTCTTCATTGTGATTGGGAGGGTAATGTTCATAAGCTTAAGGGCTTTGATTTTCACTCATTTTCTATTTTTTCCTTACATTAGCTTTAATGGATGATGCCTCTCTTTTTGTATAGTTCGTACAATATACATAATGTACCTAAATATAACAATAAGAGTAATATGCAGACAAGAATAGCAGTGTGAAGTGGCATGCACACAGTAAGGTTCACCACGGCTTCTAAGTTTAACTTACTTAACATCCTTCTGTGGGGCTCCAAATTTATTTTTCTTGCACAGGACTTGGCCATGATATAGTCCCACCAAGGCTTTTGATTCTTTGGTCAATGCCAGCTCTCCAAATTTCTGAAAAGTAAAGAACAAGAAAAGGTAGAAATTTACAGTCTGAGTGACTTGGATTCCTTTGGTTTGTTTTTCTCTGCAGAGCACAGGTGGTATTCATGACACCTCGGTTTCCCAGGGGTGTTCAGGAGACTCAGTGGTGGCTATGCTGTCTCCCACTGATTTTTTTTTAGATGTTGATGAACCTTTATTTTGTTCATTTATTTATATGCGGTGCTGAGAATTTAACCCAGTGCCTCAAACATGCTAGGAAAGTGCTCTATCACTGAGCCACAACTCTAGCCCCGATTTTTTTTTTAAATCCTCATCCGCAGCATGTTCTGACTAATGCTTTCAAACAAAATGCTATTCCTTCTAGTTACGATTTCATTATGGAGAGCAAGTTCAAACATCTGTAGACCACCAGTATTTTTTCAGCATCAACTTAGCTCTTGGATTCTTTTTTTCTAATATTTATTTTTTAGTTATAGGTGGACACAATATCTTTACTTTATTTTTACATGGTGCTGAGGATCAAACCCAGTGCCTCACATGTTAGGCAAGCACTCTGCCTCTGAGTCACAACCCCAACCCCTAGCTCTTGGATTCTTTAAAGCAGAGATGTAGTATTCTTTGTCACAAAACTATGTCTCAGAGCCAAACAGGCCTTCACAAATGTCTCCAACTGYTTTATTCGAGTTGAGAAGAGGCCCAGACATATGAACTGACTCTGCTGTTTAAAGCCATACTACCTCAAAATGGCAGAAATGGAACTTGACTCCTAAGTCAACTCCTAACTCTCTAGTTCTTTTTCCATAATATTACGCTGCCCTGCAAGATACCTACCACCACTTTAAAAAGTATATCAATTTAGGGGTTAATAGCATAATATCTAGAGTCAGGGTATGACACAATTGGGTTTGAGTACTGGCTCTGAAAAATGGCATAGGCTTGTAATCCCAGCCAGGCAGAAGACAGAGACAGGAAGATCTCAAGTTCAAGGCCAACCTCAGCAGTTTAGTGAGACCCTTAGGAACTTATTAGCAAGACCCTGTACCTGTGCTACTGTACCCAGCCTACCTTTGTCTTTCACTGGGTATGAGACATTTCTTTTCATTTTGTAATCACCAAAAAGAAGCTGGGCTTCAACATTTCATCTCTAGGTCCTAACAGGTACTCTTATCAATTTATTCATTTTGCCACAACAAATCAGCTCAAATTCAGAACAAAACTATTCAAGTGCTGGGCACGGTGGTGCATGCCTGTGATCCTAGCTACCAGAAGGCTGAGGCAGGAGGATCACAAATTAGAGGTCAGCCTGGGCAACTTAGCAAAACCATCTGGAAAAAAAAAAAAAAAAAAGGTAGAGTACCCCAGGGTTCAATTCTCACTACCACAAAACAAACAAAACACAAAAAATTGTCCAAGAGATTCATTCTGAAATGGTTATAACTCTGCTGCTATTCCTTCTAGTTATGATTTCATTATGGAGAGCAAGTTCAAACATCTGCAGACCACCAGTATTTTCTCAGCATCAACTTGTTCACTGAGAAATGACAACCACTGAAGAAAAAGATATATTAGGCTTTGAATATTTTTTTTCCTACTTTAAACAGAGTATTGGATCTTTGGTTTCCCTGCAATAAGTAATAAACAATTGGAAGGAATGAACTTTACCTGTGATTCAGCAAGATAACCAGCTTCACTCCCTTGCTCAAGTCCAGTTTTTACAACCTAAAAAACACAGAAAGCACTCGTTCATGGTTGGAATAGACTAGTGAGATGTCTAATAATGCATAATAAAATTTCCAGTATTGGTAGGCTTTTCCAAGAATAGGTCAAAAATCTAGATTTATGGGAAAGTACAGGACTGAGTGCCTAACTGCTCTAGACTGGCTGAACTCTCCATCTCTGAGGCTACTGATGAACCTGGCATGAAGCCGAGAAGGAGAGAGAGCTTCCCTTACTTTTACAAATGTAGGCAGACACTCATCTTCTACTCTCAGCCCTTCTCTCTTTATGCTTTCTTCCTCCAATGCATTATCTAGTTTATCACATTCATATGAACTCTATGAAATTCTACTTCACATTGGGGTAAGAGCTCTCCTAAGTACAATGGCAAATACAGAAGATGAAGAAATGACCCTGAACCCAATCACCATCATTTATGGAAGCGACAAAATTAAAACAACAAACTAAATCCATATTCCTAATCCTGACTTCTGTCTAAACTGTTCTTTGAATTTCCCATAACATCTAAATTTAACACATCAAAATTTAATTTATAATTCCTCTTTGGCAAGTTTCTTTTTTCTTTTTTTTTTTTTTTTTAAAGAGAGAGGGGAGAGGGAGAGAGAGAGAGAGAGAGAGAGAATTTTCAATATTTATTTTCTAGTTCTCGGCGGACACAACATTCTTGTCGGTATGTGGTGCTGAGGATCGAACCCGGGCCGCACGCATGCCAGACGAGCGCGCTACCGCTTGAGCCACATGCCCAGCCCCAAGTTTCTTATTACTTCTGTAGTTTTTAACTTCTACTGTTACATCTCAGGGTCTTACTCAAACTTAAAGCCTAACCTACCAAGATACTTGGCTAATTCTCTACTATAATATAGTAGAGAATGCTCTACATTCTCTCTCTCAACATTGATTTTTACCCACTACTGTGAAAACAGCTTTTTATAATTTATGGAACAAAGGTAAAATTTGTCAATTCATAATTGCCAACATTCTAAAATCCAGTTTCAGGTTACCTTTCTTCAGATATTTCACTTCTCACCTTTAAAAGCTGGTTTCATTAAATGCTCGTTAAAGAGGCTCTCATTTTCTAGCTCCCAAGATTGTTCAAAATGCCCAATCCACCTGACACAACTTTCCCTTCACCTACCTGCCACTCATTTTTTAGGGCTCAGGTCAGAGCCCTTCCTCATCTCTCTGGCTCACAGTGATTGCTCCTTCCCATGTGTCCTTAGTGTCCTCTTGATACCTACCATTACTCTTGAGCTGCCTTATGCCTCTTCCACAGCTGTCTGCCTCCCCACATGTATATGTTTAATCTCCCTCACCCAGATTGTGAGATGAATATAGGTATGGGATCATATTTCACATTTTATTTTATTTTTCTGCAGTGTTGGGGACTGAATCTGGGGCCTTATGCATGCTAGGCAAATATTCTACCAGTGAGCTACACCCAGCCTGTGCTTCATATTTTATGTAATTTGGTGCCTTCTGCTCAAAATATATTTGTTGACTGACCCATTCTCTCATTGTGAAAGTCTTCAATTATATGCTCTCTTAATCCTCTTAGACTTTTTAGATAAAAGAGTTCTAAATTTCAAAGTCTACCTTAGACAGGTTTTTTAATCTTGTGACCATTTTAATTATTCTCTTGGATCTTTTTTACATAACATTTTCCTTAATAATTATAGCAATGGGGAACCAGGCACACTGGTGCATGTATATAATCCCAGCGGTTTAGGAGATTGAGACCGGAGGATTGTGAGTTCAAAATGAGCCTCAGCAATTTAGTGAATCCCTAAGCAACTTAGTGAGACCCTGTCAACTTAGCAAGACCCTGTCTCAAAATAAAACATAAAAAGGGCTGGGGATGTGGCTCAATGGTTAAGTACCCCTGGGTTCAATCCTGGTACCAAAAAAAAAAAAAAAAAAAAAAAAAAAAAAGCGATGGGAAGTCTCTAAGGAATTTTAGGTACTGATAGTAGTTCTGACTAAGGATAGAATAACCATCACTTTTGTGTCAACTACCTCATAATTCATGTATAATATTTTACTGGCCTTGTTTTACTGACAAGACTTAGGATTCTTTTCTGCTTTCCCGATTTCTTACTCACAGATTTAAACTCATCAACCGAGGAGCATATCTAACACTGTTTTCCCAAAATACTTCATTTTATGACTCCTTCTAGCTTGTCACATTCTTCCCTTACTGTGTAAGTATTTTAATAGCAGACTTAAGAACTTCAGTACTGACATCTGTGGTCTAAAATGGCAATGTATGTTCTCTATAAAGAGAGAAAATATGAGAAAGTTAAGAGTACAGGTGAAAAAGACTCACATCAATTATTTTCAGAGGGGCAGGATAAAGGCCTTTGGTCTGCTTTCGCACTTTTTCTTCCACGGTTTTGTAGATCTGTCGTCTAACAAATGGAATAGTCATGGCGTATGCTGTCAGTTCTGTAAGGTAAAAATGCTTTTAGATACTTTTGCAAAAAGTATAGTTCCCTTGTTAGTTTGTCCTGCACACTCCATGAAAATGTAGTAATTCTAGCTACTCTGAAAGAACTATTCTTTAAACACATGATCTAAACATGCCTTAATTAGTTGATAAATGTTAAAGCTTGGCTTTGGGTACAGGCATGTTTATTACACTATTATAGTATCTACTTTTAATATTTAAATTTTTCTTATTTATTTATTTATTTTAAAGGCTTTAACTGACAATTTTAAACTTGTCTCTAGAGCAGAGCCATGAAATCCTTTAAGGTTGACTTTACGTTTACAGTAAATAATGTACTCGACTTCTTTTTCATTCTGAATCTACAGCAAATAAAATAAATGCCCAGGGAGGAAGTTTTGCCTTTGTTCTTTACAAAGATACTCACTTTCCATCAATCCCTTGTTTCTCTTAGGAGAAATCTTCTTATCAACTAGTCCATTGGCAAAAGTAATTGCAACTTCTTCTAGGTATTCAATTGTCCGTTCCTGTGGAGGTTTTATTCCTGGTCCTGTAAAAATGAACACAACAGGCTGGAGTGCAAGAGGATTTAGATGAGTCCCAGCTAGGGAAACACCTAGGCATGCCAAAGCCAAAGGCTCCAGCACAGAATGACATTTTAGATCAGAGACTAGTAGGTGGCAGTCAAGAACTGTGGACTCAAAGAGGGGAAATACACTAAGCAGAGGTGAAGCAATGTGCTCAAGGTAGAAAACAAGGCCTTGAATCTTTCAGTCTGACTTCTACTCCTATAGGATGTAGTATGTCTTGTGTGCTGGCATATTGCTGCAAAACTGGGAAAAAAATGAATAAATTGCAAAATAATTTATAAAGATACCAGAAAGCTGTGGATTCACAAGGTCTATGTAAACTAAAATTCCAGAAAGGGAAGAGCCTTCCTTAGGTAAAGTGACGATTGTTGGTCATTTTTTTTGGAAGGGATATGTGATGCTTTGGGGCATGGGCTGAAGCTGAAGCATGCTACTGCGGGTCAAGTGAAACTATCAGTTTCTGGTGATCATGTACACCATGGAGGAAATCACATGCAAAGTCAGTTCACATCATGAATATTTTTAGAGTTCTAAGCCAGTCAGGAGATTTGAAGGGGCTAGATCAGAAAGGCAGAGAGAAATCTCTCACAGTGTGATGATGTTTAGGACACAAAGTACTTCTACAGAGAAGGGGATCTGTAAAAAATATGCAGCTTGGGCTGGAGATGTGGCTCAGCGGTAGCGCGCTCGCCCGGCGTGCGTGCGGCCCGGGTTCGATCCTCAGCACCACATACAAACAAAGATGTTGTGTCCGCCGAGAACTAAAAAATAAATATTAAAAATTCTCTCTCTCTCTCTCCCCTCTCTCACTCTCTCTTTAAAAAAAAAAAAAAAAGAAAAAAAAATATGCAGCTGATTGCTCACTAAAGGCATTTGCCAAATTTGAACCTAATGGAAGCAGGAGACTAGAATGAGGCCCAGGCTGGGTGGGGGGTAGTTCAGTGTAGAATGTATACTTACTATGCACTGGATTCCATCCCCGGCACCCCCCCTCCACCCACAGTGAGGCTCCAAAATCCAAAGAAGGGAATTTATGGGGCTGTGAAAACAGACACCTACCAGGATCTCAATCTAAAGGGTTCAAGAACCCCACTGGAGGAGGTGGCTGTGGTCTAAAAAGCAATCTCATACAGTCTGTGGCACTTAGGACACATAATTCTAATAGAGGTAGGAGCTTCAACAAATACACAACTGATCTCTTCCTTACAACATTTGTCTTGTTTTGAACCTGTGTGGGGAAGGAGGAAAATGAACCAAGCCCAAAATTTCTGAATGGTAAAAATTCATTTATCCAAAAAGTCATCATGCAGTCCTAATCCTGCAGGGAGGCCAAGGCAACTGAGATCTGTAAGTAGAACACTGGAAAGCAGGCACCACACAAAAGGGATCTTATGTAGGAGCTCCTCAAAACTTTGGCTAAGTACTATTCTGTACATGCATGAGAGGAAAGTATCTGAGACCAAGAAAAGAACCACCACAGAGGTACAAGAAGAAGCCAGATAGAAACAGACTCAGAAATGAAACAAAAGGTAGAATGAGCAGATACAGTGTTAAAAAGGCTACTGTAAAGTTCATGCCATATTCAAGAAGGTAAAGTAAACCAGGAACAAAATGAGAATAAACTGAAGAGATAAAAGTAAATCAAACGCTACTTCTAAAACGTGGAAAAAAAAAACCCTAAAATGAGTAATACACAGCACAACAGATAGTATTCTAAAGGAAAAAAAGACCAGAAAACTTGATTACATGCAATAGAAAATAGCCAGAATTAAAGAACAAGAAAGCAAAAAACTTAGAGCTTCATTTTGGGTCTATGTCAAGTGATCTAATGTGAAACTGGAATCTTCAAAATGGGAGACAGAAATATTTGAAGAAGCAACAGCCAAAGAAGTTTCCACTAAGGTAGGAGGATCATAAGTTTGGTGTTAGCCTTAGCAATTTAAAGAGGTCCTAAGCAACTTGGCAAGAACCTGTCCCAAAAGCAAAAAACAAACACACACACACCCAGAATGCTTTATCCCTTTTAAATCTTTTTTTTWAAACATAATTGTCTAAAACAGAAATGCCATAATTGAGGAATTTGTAATATACGTAGAAGTAAAATGTATAACAACAAAAAGCACAAAGGGTAGGAAAGAATGAAGGTAAATTCTTTTAAGGTTCTACACCATAAGTAAAATGACAGATCATCTGAAGACAGACTGAAGAACCAGAACGATGCTGGTGTACAGTAGACAAAGGTATTAAAAGATTTAAGGAAATTGAGATGTTAGAGTAGATTTATGACATAGGATCTGCTCAGCCACCCTTCAGGGGTTAGAGGACACTCCTTTTACACCGCTGCAAGAAGTATGTTTAGGAGGGGAGGCCCTGCATCCTTGAACAGCTCTCTGGTTGTTTTTCTTGGTAGGTCAGAAATTACAGGGGGAGCTGCTACTGTGAAATGGAATCCCTAAATACAATGGGGAATATGGGATTCCAGGGTAGCAGGGGCCAAGTAGCAGCACTCAACTGCCAAGCCAAGGTGGGCATGGTTACTGTAAAGGGTAGAAGAGCCAAAGCAGTAATCAGAACATTCTGACTGGCAGAGACCTATGGTGTTGGCTACTTGATCATGGTATTCTTAGAAAAGAAACAGATGGGCAGTGTACTAAATGTTTACTTCTCGTCCCTGTCCCTCGCGGGTGGTGGAATTTGGGTTTCCTCTGCGTGGAGTGAGCTGGCTGCGACCTACAGCTAAGAAAAGAAGGTGGCAAAAAAACCCCACACTACCCAGGAAATAATTTTAGAAATTGGGGAACAGCTGCCTCTTCAAGTTTAGGGGTTGAGCTTCCACACTGGAAAGAGAGAGAGTGAGAGCCTGCAAAGTAGGAGGTGGGCTGTCCAGGCCCAGTGGGTTACGCCCAATTCCGGAGCTAGGACAGCAGCCTTCCTAACCCATTGAAGACTGAGGTCACGTGCCTTGCATAGTTCATTAAGCAGGAGGAACCACAAAAATGACTCACAATGTCAAACCAAAATCTCCTTGGTTCAAGGCTGAGTAAAGACACTAAATAGCTTAGGAGTGGCTTCCCACACTTACTTGTTTTGGATAAGCAGAATTATTCTAGGTCTAGTAAATAGAAGTGTAACTTAACACCAGAGTCAGAGGGTCCTCAATCAGTTCCCACAGATGAGCCAGTTCATGGACCCACTGAAGGGTTTGTGAAACCTCTTGAATGAAGGGGAGGCTATGTCCCCTTGAGAAGATTTTATTTTTTATTTTTTCACTAGTCTTCCCCCAAGTACCTATGGTCATTTGCCTTGGGAAAAGGGAAATAACCAAACTTTGGGGAGATCACTTTATACTGGCTCTGAACTGACACTAATTCCAACACTGTGGAACCCTATTATTGGTTCTGTGACTTGAGGAATAAGTGATCTTATGATGGGAAAAACCAAGTGAAAGCCTCTATAACTGTCTCTACCCAGAAAACAGTAAACAAAAGTACTACCACAACCCTGGAGGGACTGCAGAGATTTGTGCCACCCTGAAGGACTTGAAAGATGGAGGGTAGTGATTCTCATTGTTCCCCATTCAATTTGCCTATTTTGGCCTGTGCAGAATACAGATGGAACGACAAGGGTTTATTACCGTCTTAATCAGGAGGTAACTGCATTGCAGCTGGTAGTCCATATGCAGTCCATTTGCTTAGCAAATTAACACAGTCCCTTTGTACCTGGTAATGCAGTTACTGATCTGGCAAATGCCCTTTTCCTTAGTACCTATTGGCACAGAACATGAGTTTAGTTTCAGCTAGCAAGGCCTGCAATATACTTTCACTGTTCTTCCTTAGGGGTAGGTATATCAACTCTCCAGGCACATATCACAATTGAGTCCACAGAGATGCTGATGGCCTGTTACAAGACATTATTCTGGATCATTATACTGATGATATTGTGCTGAATGGATCACATGAACAGGAAGTATCAAAAGAAATCCCACAAATGAGTGAGGTGTGATGTTGCACACCTGTAATCTCAGCAACTCAGGAGGCTGAAGCAGAGGATTGCAAAGTCAAAGCCAGCCTCAGCAACTTAACAAGGCCCTAAGCAACTTAATGGGAACCTGTGTCAAAATAAAACATTAAAAAAGGGCATGGGATGTGGCTTAATGGTTAAGCCGCTCTGGGCTCAATCTCTGGAACCAAAAAAAGGAGGGGGGAGAAATCCCACAAATATTTGGGGCCTTTGGGGTATGTTAAGACATTCCTTTTAAGGTGAAGGATAAGTTGCTGCATCTGGCCCCTCCTACAAAAACAGGTACTACATTTGGTGGGTTTTTATGGATTTCTGAGACAATATATTACTCATTTGGGTATGCTACTCCAGTCCATTTACTTAGTAACTAAAAAAGCAGTTAGTTTGAGTGAGGCTCAAGACAAGAGAAGCTCTTCGGCCATTTGGGCCATCTGACTCAAACCCGATGGTGTGAGAAGTGACAGTGGCAGAAGCGATGCTATTTGGAATCTTTAGTAGGCTCCTGTAAATGATCACAGTGTGAGTCCTTAGGATTTTGGAAAAAGCCCCACCATCCTCTGGGAATAATTACTCTACTCTTGGGAAACAATTTTGGTTTGCTAGTAATCCTTAGTAGAGCTTAAGGCTTAACCATGGGCCATCAAGTTACCAGGTAACCTGAGCTGCCTATCATGAAATGGATGTTGTCTGACCCACTAAGCCAAAAAAAAGCTGGGTGTGAAGGTAGTGCTCCACTATCTAATGAATATGGTACACAGGAGACTGCCTGGGCAGACCCTGAAGGCAAAAAGTGCATGCAGAATGGCCAAAATGACCACAGTCCTTACTCCTCCTTCCCCTAGTCTGCACCTGTAGCCTCATGGGGAGTTCCTTACGAACAGCTGACTGGGGAAAGGAAAACTCAGTCCTGGTTTATAGTTTGTTCTGTTTGTTATGCAAG